GTGAATCAGTGATTCTAATAATAACCACACACCTGAAACGCCATTTGTGTAGTGCTTTGACTCATAGATCTGATTTTTTAAGGGTTTTTTTTTAAGCTTGGGGAAAAAAAAAAAAAACAACAACCCAAGAAAGCAGCAGTATAGCAACCCTGAATCTTATTTTTCAACATTAACATGTGAATGTTTCCTATTTAGTGAGAGCTATCCCTTAAAATTAAATTAGAAAGAGGTATTTTCAACCTGTGGTAACAACTTGTACTAACTCAGCACACAACAAAGCAACCTGGTTGTTCAGTTTGTGCATTTCATAGCAGTACACAACTGCTAACATTTTTAACAGAGGAACAGACAAAAAACTTTTCTGTAAAATATGAAAATGTAGTCTTAAAATGACAAAAAAAAAAAGGTAAAAGCTGCTTACTACTACTAAACTTAGTAAGATTTCACGGCCACAAAGTACCTTTTAATAATAACTAAAGGAAAAGGTTTTCCAACTACTTTGCAATATCATATTAAACTCTGAATAAACAGATTATTTGCATTTATATCAGCTACTTTATCCTGACTATTTTTAAAAGAGGTATTGAATTCAGCTGTATCGTTCAAGCCTAACTTTTATTTCCCTAGGCCAACAACAAAAATTGAGTATTGATCTTGACAACTGCTCCTTTCTCCAGGAGCTAAATCACATTGTCCCGCTGAATGACCCAGTCTCTAGCAGCTTATCTTAAGAGACGGGCTGCATGTGATCCATGTGAATTTGTTCATATGAGGACAAACGTCCTCTTATCATAAGCTTGTTCTATGAAGATCCATTGTCACATCTTTTTTGGCAGGGGGAGACTACAGGGTTTTTCAGGACTTTTTCTACCCTCCCATTCCACCCGGTCAAACTGGAAAATTTCCTGCTTCCAAGCCTCAAGGTCACAAAACCCTCTTCACCAGTCACCTGCTGTTACCATCCAAAAAGGCAGAGAAGCTAATGTTTAAGACTGCTTTTCCAGATAGTATTTTAACCAGGCCTAAATATTATTTTTGAAGAAAGTCTTATCTCTGTCCCTTTATTAGTGTTTGTTTAAATGTTACTCCAGCCTTTCTTTTCATGAGAGTCCATCCCACCAGAAGGCACACACTTTTGAGATGAGTTTTCCCCGCTGCAACAAGGACCTCATTCGCAAGGTCGTCCTTTCTCTTTCCCGTCCACCAGATGGGAAAAAGGACTTTTCCCCTATTCTCCCTTTCTAAGGCAAATGGAGAAAGAGAAAAGAAAAAAAAAAAGCCAAAAAAAAAAAGCAGAGGAATAGTAAATGAGAAGGAAACAAGCCTCAAGCTTCCCAAATACAGCTTTCCAAAGCACACACTTTTGAATGAAGCCCAAAATCCATGAAGGATTTTAAAGAGCTCTGTTAAACTACTGAAGACAGCTAAAACATCCTCCACACTCAGAAAACGAGTGCTGAACTACTCAGCACTACTGGGAACTGTGTTCAGACATACTATTCTGATCCTGTTATCTCCCCCAATCTATTATTTTGGGGGTAGAAGCTAATGTTTTATATTTTCCTTTCCTTTAACCAGCCCTCAACCCTGTGTCTGGTCTTAACCTTCAGCAGTCTTTCTCCTTTCCCCATTCCCTGCTGAGCAACTCTTCCTTCTGACTGACAGTTTACTGTTTTATGCCTCAAGGTCATTTAATCTTCTCCTGTCCCAAGTCACAACCTATCACAGTCTATGAAAGAAAAAAAAACCAAAACAATAAACACCACCACTAAACCCACAACCACCACCACAAAAATTATACATTTACAAAGGCAGAGTTTGCCGTATTTTCTGGCAGTTGGCTTTTCCTGGAGGAAGGCAAGCTGGGACTTAATTTTCAGTATCATTTCTAAAGATCAAATATAAATGAAGTCTTGTAATGCTGTCCTGTAGAAAACCAAAAGCACACCAGTGGGACAGCGGATTCCTGGGCACATACTGTTTGTAGAAATTTAGATAAGATATTATCCAGTTTAATAAAAATTCTTTGTGCTCATTTAGAGCAAGACCTTTCATAATTAGTTTTTAATAGGTTTTATATAATGAAAAACTTCTTAAAGTCCATGTAAACAACTTCCATTCACTCTAATAAGAAATCTGAAAATCATGAATGATCTTGATAAGAGTTGCATCAAGTTGCTTAGACTTTCTAAGCTCATGCTGAGCCATTCTTGTCATACTTTCGCTCTGATGCAAGGCCAACAGTCAAGAAACGCACAGCAGACAACTGCAACTTTGTAAATGAGCTTCTGTCACTTGATTTGAAGTGGAAGGAAAGCATGGTCCTTCCCAAATCCTGTTCTCATTTAGAGAGGACAATAAAAAAACTAGAATCTCATTGCAAGGTGTGCCTAAACTGAAGGCTATGCCAGCAGTTACGCAGACTCCCTAGCACATAACTAAACAACGTCTGTGTGACAAGATACTAAGAAGATTATTTAGTAAAAGGGACATTGACTTCTCACTGTTGGAAGGCTTATGTTTACACCGATTTCTTGCAATTTAAATAAGTAAATACTTCTCCAGTGTAGGTGATATTCTCTACTATTATTTCTGCAGCCGATTTTGTTATCTCTATTAGTGGGCCTAATAAACACAGTACCAATACTAAACAGTCCAGTAAAATAGGACTGCTCCAGTCATCTACTTGACTGCACACAAATGTGTAGGAGTTTGGTACTTCCCTCCTGCTAAGAAAAGGTAATGACAAAGAAAAGAACCAAAGAATTCACTTGAAAAAAGCAGCATCACTCATCCCTCAACTATTTAAAACCCCCTCAATTTTCATTGATGTCATTCATTAGGTACGCTAAGAAAAATCAAGGAAGTAGTGCGGTTTTCTTGGTTCAGCACATTTTAAAAAAACTTTACCATGGAAGTTTTGTGTAATTATGCTCCAAATATGGTATTTTAAAGGAGTTCCGTGACATATGGAAGTTAGAATAATGAGTTGCATTTTCTCGTCTATCATTTCAGTTGACATTTTGTGGAAGTTGTACAACTTTAGATATTGGGTAAGTCTCTCCCTTCTTTCCAGTCCACGCTTACATCAAAATCATTACAATTTCTCCCACCCAATGCCCTAAACAAAACATAAATGCCATCACCATCAATCTCAACAAGCTCTGTATGACAACTCACATTAACAGAATGACCTTCTTTGCTTTCATTTTCATTAGTAAATTAGGACAGAAAATAGCAAGTGGCTCAGCTTAGCCAATTTGAACAAGTTATCTACGTCATCCTTCATGATGTCAGTGGGTAACTATGCTGAGCAAGGAAACTCAGCAATTTGGGATCCAGCACAAGACATCATTAAGCACAAAGCCAACATGTTCTGTTTTGGTTTGGTTTTATCCCTGAATTACACTAAAGCAAGCATTCTTTACAGGTAATACAGAAAAGTTTGCAAGCTTGGCTGCTGCAGAGAGTGCCTGCAAAGTCACGATGCATGAACTACAGACCAAATCTCAGCATGGCATATTTCTGTGGGCCTGCAGCTATTTCTGCTGAGGGTTAGAGAATCTGACCACACTAGTGAAGGAGGAGACAGCCAAAAGGTGAACAGCAGAGCATGAGCCAATGTCCCAAAGAGGCCAGGACATCCGTCACTTTGTGCTTTCCACCCAGCTGCAGAAAAGCCTCCAAACATCTGTCCTCTACCAATGGACAGGTGCTGAATACAGCAAACACCTCCATGCCAGATCCTCATGCTCAGATTTATTTTCTTTTTTAATCAATTGTTCTCAAAGAGACACTAAATGTTCACTGCTTTATATCCTATATAATAAAGGAAAGGCAGTAAGGATGTGGCCCCCTGCCCCACAATGCACTCAACTGGCCAGGCTTCCTCTCTTGGAAGAGGAAGAAGATGCTGCTGGGGATGCTTATGCTGTGACAGTGGGTGAGAAACACTTAGACTGAACTGCTTAATCCCATCCCAGGATGGCATTTGGCTGTTCTTGGTGCATTCTTCACATTTCAGACTCGCTATTTGGTCAGAAAGAGCAACTGGAACCGGAATGCTTTTTGTATAAACTTTCCACTACTTAAATCAATTTGCTGTAAACCACTAATTTGTGGGGAGGGAAGGTTGGTTGTAGAAAAAGGAGAGCAACCTTTTAGTCTCTGTCCTTTGTCCACACCACAGTAAGGACCTTGCAAAAACTACAAAAATACAAACCCTGAGAAGACAGCTGTATGATGGAAAAAACTGCTTTGTTCATCCCCTTGCAAGGCAGAGAGCTTGATTTCCCTTAATGGCTAATGATTAATGTATGGAAACAGGATGAATAGCCAATATATCTGAAACATGAGGAACATGATTCTTTAGTTTTTCCTGGCAAGGCCAATATGGCTTAGAAGGAAGACAGATTCTTCCTGTCCTGGATCAAAACTGATCTGTTCCAATATGAAAGACAAAGGGAAGCCACTGCACAGTATTCGAACAGGTTTCTTTGTCAGAAGTGAGGAGAAGAATCAGTTCCATCAAATGGAATACAAAAATATATTTTAAAAACAATGCTTGCTGCTTTGCCACACTGCACTCACAAACTGATACCACTGTCAATTTGTTAATAGCCAATGCTGAACTGTTACCCAAGAACAACATATATTTTGTTATGCACTTACAGGGTGAAAATTTTGTAACAGTCTTAAGAGCAATTTGTCTACTGGAGAATTGGTTGGAAAACTCTCATCTGCTTGCCCATTTCGACAGAAAGCAGCCATACACTGTAGCAGAAAGTTTGGCAAACACACTATATGCATAAAACCAACAGTTTCTTAAACACTTGCCTATGGAATAAAATGGAAAATATTCCAGGATATATCAAAATTCATAATGTCAATTCAGATCCCTGATGAAGCACATCTACAATAAGGATGTGTGGAGAACCATTTGTTAGTATGTTGGTGAACCAAAGTATCTGTGCTGTACTATAAAGCAGCAGAAACCCTACCTGCACATTTTGTTCTTGTTGTGAGTGGTGGTCCAGGGGGCCCTGTACCTCCTTCTCCAGGGCGAGTGAGCAGCACTCTGATCTCATACTCCACATCAGGATCCAAATGCCACAGTTTGTAATTAGGAGAGTCTACAATGTGCGTTTCCGCCCAATTCCCAGTGGTCGTCCGATATTCCACCTCTTTCAGTATGATGGGCCCGTCTCCAATGATGGAGTTGGCATTGGGTTTGATCCACAGGTACGTGGCTCCGACAGCCAGCAGCTCAGGAGGGGCGATAGGAGTTGGAGGTTCTGTGGAAAAAAAAAGAAACCACGAGAGGCCTGAGACAATTTTGTCAAAAGGATCAAACTTCCCTGTGTATCTGTATAGCACGGCTGCCCCAAAATCTGCTGTAACACAGGCACAGTTTCTCCTGTTATATACTAAATCTCTCATAAGAATTTAATCTGTTACTGGAAAGAATTTGGCTGCTTTTTTTCCATTTTTTTTTTTCACTAAAAACTCAGCCCCCTTACACTGGGGGTAGTATTACCAATTCAGAAACACCTGCAAAAATAACCACAAAGCAACTTTCATTTAAAATAAAACACCATAGTCACTTTTAAAAGATCAGAAGCTTTATGCTTATTCTGTCCTTTAAGCAGCCGAGCAATAGCATTCAATATAATATTGCAGTCTGAGGGGGGGACAGAAGTCTTCAATAAAGAAGGCTGAGCGCGCTTGGCATATACCCTGTGTGAACAGCTCCAGTGCAACAGCCCTTCCTCTGCCCCGTGACCCGACGTGGCAGAATATCACGATCATTGATCGTGGTATTGTGGTTCAGTCAAAGTGTCACAGCTCAACACGACACAATTAGCAAAGAGCAGAAAACTCAAATCACTTGTTCATTTTGTGATTTTACCAAGCAAAATAAAGGTTAAAAATGGGATATATTTTTTTTAATAAAAGCACCAGCTGTGTGTCCAAGAAAATACAAGCAAATGTAAACACTAGGGGTGTTCCCATGGTCAATGATACCAGTAGTCAGGATGCTGTCAGAACTAACTAACTGGGGCTCTTGGTAGCTCAGAACTAAGAAAAACAAGTTTGCTAAGGCAACACTGAATCCACACCTCCTGTAACGTTCTATTGTGAAGTCTGCTTAACTTCATGAGCAAAGGTACTCAAGCAAAGTCTGTATGAGACTTGATGAGTGCCTAAATGTCTGAAAAGCATCATGAGGAGGCAGGAACCTGGCTGCTGAATATCACCTCTATGATAAAAAGAAAAGCAAGCCAATAAAAGACATCTCAGCAGCACCCTTTGAGGAAAACTACAAAAAAACCCCACCACACTACAGGGCTCTGGCTGTCTGCCTGATTTTTATTTCTTTCCCCCATCTCTGTCAGTGTATAAGTAACACTTGCATACTGGAAACAGGATGAATAGCGTATGCCTTGTGGTTTTGAAAACCTGAGCTGAACTGTGCAAGATTATGAGCAATTTCTTTAATCTCGCCTAGCTTTCCCTCTGTCACACTCTAATGTGGTTTGCCCTCAGCCCAGAGGGCACAAACTCTATTCTCTTGTGAAAACAGGGTGACAAAAAGGACACCTCTGTCTCAGAAAAGAAACCTATAAATGTTACAGCATGACATTAATTTTTAGAGTTCTGTATGAGTTATTCTAAACCCCTCTGAAAGGTGATCCCTCAAAGAACAGAGAGCTGGAAGAATCCAGGACCCACAGAAATGTGGAAGGAAGGAGTTTGGGCACATGTGATGGGAGGAAGACGGGACTTTCCCCTCTGGAGAAGTCTGGCAGTTTACATCTGCTCAGTGAAGAGAAACAAATGCACAGAAACCATTATGATACAAAATGATCAACTGGAATGTTACTTAATTTCATTTCCTCTGGCTAACTAATTACAATGAACCACAGTATCTCCTCGAGATTGACTGCAGTAGTTGTGCGTGGTACCTCTGGAAAAAAAGCAATCTGAATTGTAATTATAGCAGGTATCCAACATGAACAAGAACTAGTGTAACAAGCTAATTTTTCTGTGGAATGTTTGTTTCTGATTTTATTTTGCACTGTTCCCCTTACTCCTGCCAGAATCTTTTTCTGATATGAAATGTCAGGCTGATTATGTTTTGACTTAGCAAGGCTATTCCTCCAAGAAATTTGTTTTCAAGAAATGCATGTAGACGTATTTTCATTAAAAATCAAATTATTATATATCACAAACAGTTTATTACTTGTTTCTTGGTGCAAGACAATTAAAAGATAGACTTAGTGATTTTTATTCCCAATGCAAAAATGACATCTTACAAGTCACATCATAGCTGAGCACAAGACAAATGAAACTCCATTCTCCTGGGCTGTAGACTTCAATAGCAATGTGATCCAGGTTACTTTGGGATTTGATTGCAAGTTAGAAGAGATTTATGGGACTACGCTTAATTAATAGAGCAGTTTGTCCTGCTAAACAGACATGAAAGTCTCATCTAGCAAGTTTAGAAACTACTGTTGACAAGCTGATTTAAATTTAGAAGACACCCAGCATTACTGACTTCTCTATTTATTTTAGGCCTAATCTAACACCCCCCCACACCCCCCCAAAAAAAAGGCGATGGTGGTTTTCCCTTTTTCCCCCGATTAACCTTCCCCTTCCTAAGTACCATTTGAAAAACAAGTGCCGAAGAATACCAGAAAATTGGGAGTTTAAACTGTTGCTCCCATTTTCTGAATTTAAGAAACTAAGATAAGCAAGCTGTTACAGAGTTATTCAAGGCTCGACCCCACCTCACTGAAAATAATGGGCTCTTTCCTACTGTCACCAACTGGACAAGAAGCAGTTTTTTAAATATCACTCTGTGCAAATTTACCGCAAGTGATCTAAACAAGTTAGCCATTATTTCGTAAAACTAGAACATAAATAAGGATCATTTTTTGCCCTTTCTAACTAAACACACTTGTCAGTTACACATGACCAGCCTGATGTTACAAGCTCACTATTTTAATTAAAATCTCTATGTGACCTTGATTAAATAAACATGGTGACAGATTGGCCTTGTACACATGTAATTGTGATCAACCATATTTTAAGCCTCATTTGATTCAGACAGCATTTTATATTGCAAGCTTTGTCCAGCCTGTTGCTCCCTTTCAGCCATTCTCCCTCCTCCTCTGGGCACAGAGGAGAAAGCCACAGGCTCCTCAGCAACGAGAACATCTGGAACTGGATTGCTGTAACTGAAACAATATCTAGCCTGAATCCCAGACTCAGGAAGGACACAGAAAAATGTGGTTCCTGGGTGAGCTCTTTCAAGGAAACAAGAGACCTATGTAGTACAAACTCAAAAAAAGGGAGTTACTGAACATGAGCAGATTTTACTGTATGTGCAAAGCAAGGCCAGTTGTGCAGACATGAAGGGAATTTGGGGTGTGCCTTTCTCCTCCCATTAGAAGAGGCAATACAGCTGTGGATTACAGCTGAGAAAGCTGAGCACTGTTAGGGCTTTAAACTGCCCAAAAGTTTAGTTGTGCAAAGAGTGTGAGAAAACAAAACTAACATGAAGGACCAAAAGAGACTAAATAGAATCATAGAGTATCTCAGGTTGGAAGGGACCCATAAGGATCATTGAGTCCAACTCCCCACTCCTTGCAGACTACCTAAAAGTAAACCACATGCTTAAGAGCATCATCCACATGCTCGTTAAACTCCGACAGCCTTGGGGCTGCAAACACTATACTTTCCAACAATCGTGGAAAACACATGTATTTTACTCTTTAGCAACTGCTCCTGCGTGTTTCTACTCTACCAGTGAAATATTTCTCTATGTGATTTTTCCAAGCAAGGCATTTCTAAGTAATTGTTATACAATGGGGAAAAAAAAAAGGGGCTCCATGAAACCTTCAGATGCAACTGAGAAGACTGAAAAATTAGAGAAAAATCCCCAACTGTTTTCACTGTTTCCTGAGAAATAATCCATAAGAAAAAGGCATTACAGAAAACTTAATCTTAAAACAGCTGGATAAACCTCTAAAGCTATGGATTTTATATGAATAAAAATTTAATTTATTTGAAAATGCCTGCCTTGTTCATAACAAGACTATCTGATAAAAAGTACAGCCAAGGTGACCACAGACTCTCATTTGCATGTGATGGCCTATGGGCGGACAAAGAGAACCCATTATGCTATAAAACACTAGTATATCACAAAGTTCAACGATTCTGTTACTGAGGTGCTAACACGTACACTTGTTTAGTAACTGGACAATCATATCAACACATGAAATTCCTGACATGACTCTCTCAAAATACACTATCAACTTAGGACCAAAGAGAATCAGAAAACAAAACGAGAGAGGACCCAGAAAAGGCTGACATGCCTGTTAAATAGAGGAGGAAAGCAGATTTGTATCCGGCTGGGCCATCCAGTCTGTTCCTGGTTGCTTGCTGACCCTGTAAGTCCCTCCAAAACCTCAGCTGTGTATGCCCCTGCACATAGCCAGGTCTCCGGAGCAGCAGGAAGATGGTTGCAACGCGCACACAGACAGCCCTGTTTTGTTTTTTCACATGCACACAACATTCAGCACAGGTTCTAAAAATAAGATCAGAAGACACAGTGGTTTTTATTCTTTGGGGGTTGAAGAGGTAGGGATGGGAGCTGCTATCAAAAGACATTTGCCTAACAAGCAGGATCTGTGTTTTCAAACATGATACTGCTTGTTCCCCTACTAACAGGAATTGTAAGCTTTTCTCACAGTGTCCTAAATGAGCAGCTGTGGATTGTGCTTGCCAAATGGATAAGGATGGGACTGAAAGGCAAAGAAACCAAATTCCAAGCTTCTCAGAACTTTCTAAAGCAAAAAATACAGAACAAAAATATATATCTGTATAGTTTTCCACACAAGTCACAGACAGTTATAATTAAACAGCTATTGAGAACACAGCCCAGCTGTTTTAAGAAAAAATGGAATGATGTTAAAATGCTTTTGTTCTGATTTTTTTGCCCCTCCATCCTTTAGGCAGGATTTGTCACCTTTGCACACCGTGTTGCTGGCTATTAAGAGATTCACGTGACTGACTGCGCAGCACCCATAAGTACCCTTTCTAGTTTTACACCACAGCAATAAGCAGTCTGAGCTCTGAATGACACTATTTATATTGGCATTGCTTATTAGCACACTTCCTACTACTGTAATAAATGCAGCAGTTGGATTGTGTTTGCCAGTGATTTTCCAAACATCCAGTTCCATTTATTGCACAAAGAAATGGCACCTGGATTTTACAACGTTTAGCA